ATTATTATTATTATTATTATTATTATTATTATTATTATTATTATTATTATTATTATTATTATTATTATTATTATTATTATTATTATTATTATTATTATTATTATTATTATTATTATTATTATCATTATTATTATTATTATTGTTATTATTATTGTTATTATTATTATTATAAAATTAAAATTGTTTATAGGAAAATTCTGTTTCATTTTTATTTTAACTCTAAGGTCTAAATTAAATAAATAGAAACAAAAAAAAAAAAGAGCTAAGAGAGAAATTACGATGAAATGAGTTGGTATAAAATTGAAATAACATTGAAATAAAGAAGAAAAGAATTGAAGAAATTCCAGTAAATGTACTTAATCATCCTATCAGTTCGTCCAATTTCATCCATTATGTCCTTCTTTCCCGTTGCTCTCTCTCTCCCTCTCTCCCTTTCCCTCTCTCTTCCTTTACAACTTTAATTTTTTTTTTAAAAGATTGAAATGTCTCCTCTTTCGTCCTCCGCTCTTGACAAGCTTACCCATTTGTTCCATCGTCATGTGCATCTATCTATCATTGTTATTATCATTAGTAATGTTGATCATGATGATACCAAAATCAAAAAAAATTTTTTTTTGAAAAAAAGTTAAAAATCAAAAATTACACCAATAATAGATTACAATGATAATAAACAAAATAAAACAAAAAAAAAATAAAAGTGAAAATGATTTAAAAAGAACGATCGTTTCATAATATATTCATTATAGATATTCCTATTTTAGGTATTATATTTCATTTATAATTTCAATATTTTATTATCGTATTTCAATAATAACATAAATAATTTTTTTTTCAACAAATTAAATTTGTAGAAATTAAAAATTTCTGGAAATTGAAGAAAAAATAAATTTCTTCCATTGAAATCTATACTAATTATGAGCGTAACATTATGTATGCGTTTGCTATAAGCGTGTATGTATATATACGTATGTGTATGTGTGTGTACGTAGGGTACGTAGGTGTTTGTGTGTGTGTGTGTGTGTGTGTGTGTCGTAGAACGAGATACGCTTATTTGAAAAATTCGTAAATAATTTTCGGTGACACTCTTCCACATCCTTTCTTCACCACCCATCCATTCATTCATCCATTGGGGAATGAGAATGTATTTATTGATTATGTCATTGATGAAGTTGACAAAACCAAAATTACATTACATATATGTTCGAATGAATGAATCAATAATGCCTGTTTATACTTTTTTTTTCATTCAAAATTAAAATTGTAAAGTAAAATGGCGTCAACAAATTTTTTTTTTTTCTTTGAACAGATCCCTATTTACACTTTATCATTGATTGATAAAAATACGTCATAACTTCTTTTTTCATTTTAACATTATCAATAAAAAATGTTATCATTCATTTGATGTTTGTAAAAATTGATATTTTTGATATTTGAAATCGTTAAATATTATCAGTTCTATGAAATTTTATTAAGTAATTTAATTAAGAGATTTATTCATTGAAATTAATGAAATTCGCTTCATCATATTGTACACACTTTTTTCTTTTCATCTTTCTTTCTCTCTCAGTTTTTCCTTTTTTTCCTATTCCTTGTTTTTATAAACATCGATATGTTTCATTTGATAATT